TTGAGAACTTGCAAATACAAATGTCCACCCAATAAACACTCTTGCATCATCACAGCATCCGCACCTTCAACGGCGCATTTGTTATTTGCAAAAGCAAACAGTTTTTTAGTCATAAATACAAGTAAATGGAATTTATCAATAGATTCATCAAGATGAATAGCGATACAATATCTATATGATAAAATGTAATGATATATAATATTGAAAATTATACATATAATATAAATTAGGAAAATTAATGAGATTCAAACTCACTTAATGATATAATCACAAACATCTACATCAGTTGCATCTGTAGGTAATTCAGAGAATTTGACTTTAAACATCTTTCCTATATAAGCTTTACATTGTTTGTGCCAGTGTAGATCTTCTTCGTGCACCGCACGTAACATATTTATGATGCTATTCTTGTAATAAAGATCATCCTCACATCCAGCAATTAATGCTTTATAAATATATAAATCAGTTACGTCTATCAGACATTTTAATATCAGTATTAATGGCACAAAATACGTAGCTTTCTTATATGTAAATGCAAGTTTTGCAGAACCATCTGTCACATAGTGCAGTGTATTGTTCTGTAAAGAGACACACACTGATAATATATAACATGTTAAGAAAACAAAATATAATATATGTAAAAAATTCCATTCAGATACATACAATTGAAGAATTGTCCTCCCGAACACTTCGCAAAAGAATACCCATCTCGCTGAAATGGTCACCATAACGTTTCCAAGTTGGTCTCTTAACAGCAATGGGATAGTTTCGTCTTGTCATTATTAACATACGTACAAGTCGTTCTAAACCTTTGATTATGAAGTATCCACCCCATTCTTGTTCATGTTCACCATGAGCGACTAATTCTTCAGGACTCATATTATTCAAGTTACATCGATTAGACTAAAAAATATTATGTATTTTTGTAAAAAAGGAATTGTGATTTGATATAAATAAAAATATGTAACCAAATAAAATAATAAGTGTACAGAAGATAATAACAATAGTATAAGAAAATTATATTTAACTTTACCTTAACCATGATTGGAACTTCTCCTAAATCCTTTTCAAGAGGTTCTTGCTCTTTACCATTGATAGACCATCCAAGTCTCGCTATCATTTTACCCTTGTAAGTAGAACCTCTTTGTCGACATTCTGTTGGATATATTTTACATGTTTTCACACCAATTATACTAGAAGGAATAGTAGGCTTATAGATATGTACATCATCCATCCAAAGAACTACCTCATCACCATTAGTAAGAGTTAAATATACGGGTGTACAATCCTTTAAACTATGAAAAAGACCATCCTCCAGCATATAATTAAAGGAATCAATATGAGGGATACCTAGAGATTTTAATAGCTGAAACAAATAGTAAAATTGATTAATGTAATGTTTTGCTGTAAAAAGACTTTATCAAGATATTTTTCTTACAACAAACATTGAACAAGTTTAAAGCCAGCGGCACACGATGCTTGTTTTCCTGCTGGATTGCTAGCTAGGTCAGATTTTTGTCATCGGATTGGCCACGATACTGGCACTTTCAGCACCACAGCCAATACGGTGGCAAGATTCTAATCCAGCTAGCAATCCAGCAGGAAAACAAGCACCGTGTGCCGCAGGCTTAAGACAGCAAAGTGGCTAGGTATGCTTGCCAGGTGATTAAATATGATTGATTGTATCTATAAATAACAATCAATTATGTTTACTTATTCATAAAGTAGGCTAGTCGCTTGAATGTGCCTATTAAATTTTATAATTTCTCTAACAACATAAGTACAGGTTGTTTCCAAATACCTTGACATAAAAATTCATACATTTAAACAAAAATAATAAAAATATTAAACATTAATAATATCATATTTTCAGAAAAAATCTTATTTAACATGTTAGACTTAAAACTTATTGTACCTGCTTCTATTAATATAAAATGTAATTAACAAATAACAAATCTATTATTTTATTCCTGCATTAGACTGAAATTCACTTTCTTAATAGAATTAACTATCATTGGTCGATTTCTACGCCTACTCCTTAATCCACTACTGCTACTACCCATTGTAGAATGAACTTAAGGCATAATAGGTAAGGCCTTTAACAATCTAGATTTCAAGTGCTTGTATAATTCCTTGTGAATAAATACTACATGTAGTTCTCAAACTATGTGCTAAAATAATTTTTCGTTTTTGAAACACAAATAAACTACTCCACTAATATCGTGAGGTAAATTGACTTATAGTATATATATTCATGAAATTATACAAGCGCCTAAGATCTAACTAGACCATTAAAGGTATTATATATTTCCTACATACATACTTCATTTTATGTTCCAAAAGTATACATTAGTTCAACCATAGAAAAAAAAAAGACATTTTATTAATCTTTTAATAATAGAGTAGATATTATTTTATATAATTCAATTTTACATAAAATTATTTAACTCAACAAATATATAAGAGAGGGAATATATGATTTCATGTACCTTTATCATATATGTTTATTTTAACATCTATAACTTTGTACATATTAATTTATACATGCTAACCTCATTCTGTTTATCGGGCGGTTTACCGAAATTTGGCGATGTGTTCGTTAATTTAGGTTCAACCAGTGATGCGATTTTCAACCCGCTCGCAGCACTCGACGGTAGCGCCATCTGTCGGCGGCCTGGCGCAACTGGTAGCACACCACACAAGCAAAGCTCTTCTTCTTTTTCCTTAAATAATGGTTCCCGCCTCCAAGCAATGAAATAGGAGGTCGATACGGCCAGATCACGTCTTTTAAAGTAACCCGTACAAGAATATGAAAACGAACGGGTGATGCAATGCCCGCGAAAATGGCGTAGCTCGACCGGTTTCCGGGCGCCTGCGTCTACGGCGTCGTCACGTCGCAATAACGCGCGTCATAAGAGCCCTAGTCGTCGAAAAGTGCAAAATGACGAACAATCGAGACGAGCTCATCCGCAGACACGCATCTGTGTGACGCAATGCACAGTCAAAGTCGGCAACACTTTCAAAAATATACCATGGAAAGCACCCGCCGAACCGAAACACGACCGTCACAACGTCACGGTTGAATGGTTCGTCGGAACCATTAGCGAACTCATAAGCAAAGCACGTGCACAGAGGGAGTCTGGCCAAAGATGTCGTCACTCTCATTGGCTAAGAAAGAATATGGCGCGACCAATCTCGTTGCTGTTGAAATTTCCTACCAAGCGCAGCATAATTTGAATATGATAAAATAATAAATTAAGAAACCCTTTCCATTTACTCGTTAATAATTAAATTATTTTATTAATAAAACATAAAAACACAGATTATAAATATATAAAGTTTATAAACATATAAAATATATAGATTATAAAAATAAATTATTTGATTACAGAATGCATTGCCATTGTTTTGCTACTAAACATTTTTCGTCGCGGACGTTCTTTCGGACAATTAATTTTAGATCTATATTTAATGAAATATTTCATAATTTTAGCAGGTAAATTATGACAATCCACGATCAAAATGCTCAGAACTAGAATGACAGCTCGCGGCGTCGATCACTTTCTGCTAATCGGCGCTCGTCATACGTTCCTTTTCCATAATTTTTCCGCGCAACACATATAACTTGGATATTTCATTCCACTGTAAATGTTTACAGTATCGCGATTGCTTGTTGGATGTAACCTTTATGTGTTCCTAATGGACGCCATTTTATTTTTTACTAAAATATTGGCTGTGGCAAAAACACACCTTTTTCTTTGTTATATCATGAGTAAATGTAATTGGTTAGTATTAAATGGGAGTTTTTCAACAAGCGACATTACATATGTAAGGGTTGGATTATACTGGCCGTAATCTGTTAATTTATGCCGTAATATGTTGACCAATTATAATCAATTATTCCCCTCTCATTCGACTGTGATTGGTCAAGATTACGGCATAAGTTAACAAATTACGGCCAGTATAAATCAACCCTAACACAAATGATCGATCATTGTTTATAACGTTGGTGAACAACAAGAATGTAACAATTCGTTGTGTTACACGTTGTGTCTTTTATTGTTGGTACGCGTGTGGGATGATAAAAGAAGTGAATTTCTTCAAATTATTACTTTATTCGATTAAAATAACAAATTTAGAAGTATATATATAGAGATATTGTTATTTCAATGAAATATATATAAAGTTATAGTAATTTGAAGAAATTTACTTCTTTTATTACCACGCATATTAACATAACAACGCTATATCCTCTCATTCGCCCTTAATTGTTGAAGTTTATCTTTCTGATTATATCGTGCAAAATCATCATCAAATATCTATTTATTAATTTTTAGCAATATTTAAATATTTACATCAAAACTAAAATACAAAAATTTTGAACAATTTCAAATCCTTAAAATTCTTCGTCTATTCTATAACACATATATTTATTCTACAAATTCTATTCTAAATAATAAGGACGTAATATTAAAAATATATAAAATAACTTGTGTGTGTGTGTGTGTGTGTGTGTGAGAAAATATTTATATAATACAATATAAATATTTAGATTAAAATTATAAATCAACTTATACTTGTTTATATAACTTCACACATTTACGTTAACAAATTACAATTATTAAATCAACGAATTATATTGTATTAATTATTGTATTAGTTAAATTGATTTTTAAAATTTTATTATATAAAAATAAAATATTATTCATAAAATAGTTTCATAAATATCGTTAAAAATATGTAAAATTGTTATAATACTACTTCTGTTAGCAATTATAACCATCTGCAAGATCGAGAAAGAGAGAATTTTTTAATAAAGTGAACTAGCGTGACACGTGTAGCTCCGTTACAAAGCACAATACGAATATACCTTACCCTACGCTCTTGTGAGAATGGATCGGTCAAGGTCAGAGCTCCACAATCCCCCCCCCCCCCCATTCGTCAGTTGAAATCACATGGAGTAAGTGGAACGTTCTTTGCCGCAAGCAGTCTCTCTTGCATTTTTCTAGTACTCGGTATCTACGACATTTACCCAGACGGTTTACTCAGCAATGACTCGACTTAAGAAGAATAAGACTGAGAATTATAAGGTGGTCATGAAAAATCTTATAGCCGGTGGTGAGTTACCGTTGGAATCCTTCTCGGAATCCTTTGAATATCTTCTTTTTTTGCATCGGCGTTGATTTTCTGAAGTGAAAGTTCAAGATATTCAGAATTTAATAGGGACTTTGTGAACGATGAATTTCTATTCTAGTTTATTTTGAAGTTTTTAAATGAATCCGTTTGCGTTACATAAAATCCCTAAAAATTTTTCAACTTAAAATGAGATAGATGTATATTTGGGCGTTGAAAAGAGAGAGAAAGCGAAAATATTGAGTGCAAAACGTGCAGCGACGCAAATAAACCTAATATTATATACATATTTGTGTCTATTTCTCTATCAAGCAATAATTAAATTTTAAATTAAGATCGTTCACCATTTTCTACTATGTTTCTGTTACTATATTATCTAAGATAACAGACCATGCACTATTTTTGTTATGTTTCTGCCTTCACATTATGATGGCAAAAGATTTCCATTCTTACAGCATTTCTGTTGTTATATTATATTTGACAAATCATCATGATAAAAACCGAGCTTAAAGAAAAGGCGCAGTATAGACAGATTCGAAATCTGCTCTACAATTGTGATTGAATTTGCCGACATATCGCTGGCATACTGCTATATATCTAGATAAAATAACGAAAAAAAATAATGGCGTTACTATTAAGTGTAACACGTACTTTATTTCCCTGAATACAAACATCAGTGTACATAAATTATACATAGGTGTTGCCGGCATGTGCTCAAAAACTGCCGTGGCTCCTTTGGACAGGATTAAAATTTTATTGCAAGCACAGCACGAGCATTATAAACATTTAGGTAAATATATATAATAAATTCTTTTGATAACAAATAATACAATACAATACATACAATATAATACAATACATTTGTATATACAGAATGTCCCAAAATGCTCGGAAGTCTTTTCGCTGGCGGATTCTATGAAACATTCTAAGGGGGCTACGCAGAATAAAAGGAACAGAGAATAAGAATTTCAACCTATCAGAAATCATATACTGTGGAATAAACAGTGTGTATTCCATAGTACATGATTTCTGATAGGTTGAAATTCTTATTCTCTGTTCCCTGTTCCTTTTATTCTGCGCATCCTTAAGACAAAACGTTTCTATACAAAAATGTACAATAGCTTTCAATTATAAACGATTAAAGTTGGCCAATTGAAGCGTTTGAAAATTGCACACTCAGGGGAGGATAACAACGCGCGTGGCAATAGTACATTGACTATAGGTGATAGTACATTGACGATTATTAAATATTTCGGCATTTAGATATTTTGCTGTAATTGTTTCAATTATATCAATGGCTGCGTTCAGCAGAAAAAGCAGCTTTTGCAACTGTTTTAAAATTCTTGAATATTCACGAAACGTTGGCATTAATATAATGAAGAAAAACACGACGATAACCCGCAAATCTTCTGGTATAATTGAAGAAAATACCCGTGAAAGCCTCAAAAGCATGATATTAATATTATTAATATTAATTAAAGGTGCCAATCCAAAGTGAACATACATAAAGTGTATGCAACTTTTGGTCAATTTTCGAATCGTCTCCGCCTTCCGCTGTCCCTCTCACCTCACCACCCGCGCGCAGTCCAAATGCCGCTCGACCGCCGTGCGCGAGAGGTGCACATGACTACGGACAGAGAAGAAAGAGAAGGAGAAGAAGACGTTACTTCATTTCTCATGAAAATCATCATTTTTCGACCGCTTGTATGTCCAGAACGGCTTGACCGATTTTAAATTTTTTTAACTCAAATTACTTGTGGCAATGCCGCCTTTCAGGACATATAACGTGTAATTCAAAAAGTTTTATATTTTAGTAGTTATGCACCCTCGAAAAATTGACTTTGGTGGCTCGAGATAAAATACGGCGAAACTTGTAGGGTCTTTTAGTTTTTGAACATGGTAAGATGCGCATCAAAAGTCGTTAAATTGTTAATCAATTTAACTCGTGATATTACTGCGATAGTTTATTCGTGTTGCGTTTCAAGTCTGAAAAAATTTTGACGCGCAATCAAAAATTTACATTACGTATAGTATATAAATTTACGTTGTATATAAATTCACATGCAATTATATATTTATAGAAGCTACAGTTTAGACCTCTACACCTTTCGTGCTCATCAGTTTAAAGAAATTTCACTTTTAAGTTTCGTATGTAATTGTTTAATTTAAATTATACATAAGATTAATATCAACCTTTTATTATGGAATATCAATTATTACGCATAAAGTTGTTAAATAAATTATGTCAAATAATAAATTAATTTTTCATATTTCTATAATAAACTAAAAGAAATTAAATGACTAAAAAACTATAATGATAAAGTTTTCCTACAAAAAATAAAGTCAAAGTACACTGTTCCCGCACGATGTTCCGCTCCTGAGCGCATGATTTTTAGACGCTTATAATTGGCCATGCAACTTTAATCATTTATAATTTGAAAATTATTATAGTCTGAACATTTTTGTGTAGAAAGTTTTTATCTTAGAATGTTTCATAGAATCTACCAGCGAAAAATTTCCGAGCATTTTGTGACACCCTGTATAGATATGTATATATAGTATATATGTATAAAATATATAAATGGTAAATGTTTAGATTAGAGGACCCTGCCCCAATGACCTTGACCTTGACATATGTTGTCAAGGACATAACCCTATGAGTAACCTCCAAATCTTTGTTGTACAGCCAATAAACAGGCTTGAAAGGCCTTGTCGTGCGACACATGAAATATCGGCGCGTGGAAAATCAAAACATATGTACAAAATAGTAGTTAATATTGTATATACAACAGAAATAAGATGTGTTATTTTTGAAATTTTCTTTTGTTCATAACTTTTTAACGAAGGGAGAACGACGGCTAAAACCTGTTGGAGGTTACTCAGGGTCATGTCCTTGATAACATACGTCAAGATTAAGGTCATTGGAGAAGGGTCTCCTAATCTAAACATTTACCATATAAATTAATATAATAAATTTTACAGGTGTTTTCTCGGGATTCAGGGAAATTGTTCAACGAGAAAATTTTTTTGCTTTATATAAAGGCAATCTCGTTCAAATGATTAGAGCCGTGCCATATGCAGCGATACAATTTACAGCATATGAACAGTATAAGAAGGTGTGAAAAAGATTCGATATTAAAATCTGCTCAAATTTAGTTGCGATATTTGAAACTACCGATCAGAATATTCAGATTCAATGCGACTTTGTTTTCTCTTAGATTGAAACGTCCTTATCGCGTTGTTTCAAATCGATATCAATTTATTTTACTTACAATTTTATTTAACTTAATATAATTATTAGGTGTACAAATAAGTTTTAAAGCGTTTTTAACGAAATTTAATATCTATTTATATATTTAGAAACAAAAAACGAGTAAATATGATATACATATAATCGGCCAAATGATGGTCAAGAGCAGGATTTTGGTTGCTAATATAATATATAAAATTGACATTGCGAGAAATTTAATTAGAAACCAAATATTTCTCATGTATCAATATTACTTGATATTTTGTTAAGATAAACGTCACTTTTCAGTCGATAGAAGAAATCTCAGGGGAACAAGCAGAGACAAAATGTGTAAAACATATAATGTAAAACATAAAATGTGTAAACGGGTAAAATCTTCTATCTAGTAATTATATATAATTTAAAATATCGTTACAGTGTATCTTGAATTTATTATATTTGACTGTGATTGTCTGTACAAATTTTGAGATAGATTTTGATTATTAATTCTGCGTTATACAAATCCGTTCAATCTCTGGCTATATAACTATTAAATCTAATATTAATTTATATATAAATCGCATAATTTCTTTTAGTACTCAGAGGAATCATTTAAGAAATGTTCGCAAGTAAATGGGTTCTTAGCTGGAGCTGCCGCGGGTGTCACAGCAGCTGCAACTACGTATCCGCTTGATACTATCAGAGCAAGACTAGCCTTCCAAGTTACCAGCAATCCATATTATTCAGGAATCAAACACGTTGCTGTAAGAATGCTGAAAGAGGTGAATTAAATGTTCTCGCGGAGTCTGTTGTATTATATATAAAAAATATATTTACACTCTTAGATTATTCACAGATATTTCGATTATATATTTTATCTTGTAAAATAATTGTAATTGTTAAGATCAATTTCGTGTGAATGAATGGAAGATTAGTTTATAAGCTTACATTCACTTACACATTAAAAATATATGAAGTCACTAAATTGTGTACGCACACACGTATGTACGCACGCACAGATACATTCAAAAAATCAAATAGAAGTTTGTGAATTAAGCCACAAAATCTGAAACACTTTGAATAATATCAACGCTATCGTAATATTAATGACTCATAAATCAAGAAGTTCTTAACGAAAGGGAGTTACATTATACCATTTTGGAAAAGTCTCATGTCAGCTACAAGGATCTGCTATCAAATTAATCATTAACGAGTTACAGAATACAAAGACAGAGTACAGAATGAATTCAGATTTCTCTAAAAAGTTACAATAAAAATTTAGAGAATAATTGAATAATTCCGATCGGAATTTATTTCGACATGTTCCATGATAGGTACTCAGTAGACCAATTGAATCTATAAGTTGAATAGTTGAATCTTAACGCAACTTCCGTTATAAGACAAAAAAGATGCGCAACGGCGTTATACGTATAATGATAATAAAATTTGCGTTAAGATTACAGAATAGGTTTACTGTATTATATTAAAATAACGTAATAATTACTAAATATATCAGGAAGGTGGCCTTCGAGCATTGTACAGAGGTTTCTGGCCAAATATGTTAGGAATGATGCCATATGCCGGATTTTCTTTCTACACGTTCGAAAAACTAAAATATCTAAGCATAAAATATGCGCCACATTATCTTTGTTCTGAGCATAAAACAAATACCAGTAAGTAAGAGGCAAATTATTCGAACGAGAATAATAAACAGCAAGTGATGTAACACATTATTTTTTCCTTATTGTATAGATAGTCTTATATTGAATATACCAGCGAAACTTCTATGTGGAGGCGCTGCCGGAGCGGTAGCACATATCTTCTCTTATCCATTAGATGTTACCAAAAGACGTATGCAATTGGCTATGATGAATCCAGCTACATATAAGTACGCGTAAGTATAACACAATAATGTAGAAAAATGTTAATGTCTTGCAATATATTTTATAATTGACTATACTGTCATTTATAGTATTATCTTTTTCTTAATCTATAAATTAAATGGTATACCTATCAATTTACTTTGAATACATAAATTCAATTTTACTTATCTATTAAAATATTGTCAATGAAATAAAAAGGCAACTAAGAGTCAATATTATATGTGTGATCTAATAAACCATTTAATAATATATTATAAATTAAAATAAACTAAAATTCTCACTATAAATACGCACGCAATCAAATTAAAATATGACATATTAAAAGTCAAAACCATTACGTTTCGGCTGCATATTCGAGCCATCCTCAGATGTACATACAAATATTAATTCACGCAGTAAAATTTTTTAATTAACGCAAAATTTAAGGTAAAAAATTAACAAGATTATATCGATAATGGAGTTATGGACGGTTATGTTCTAAAAAGTTGAGTATTTCCACAGAGAGAACAAATTAGTAATGATTAATGATTTTTATCGTCATCGATTTTACAAGTAAATGACTGTTTTAACGACATGGATTTTTTCGATTTTCTGCACTCGAGAGTGAGTTTTTTGTCAGAAGAACAATTGCTTGTCATATTATAATTTAAAAAAAAAAAAAACATTAATTTTGTGTCCTCATTAGAACCACAGGGATACATCACAAACGATCATCCAATCGCTTGATGAGCTAATTTGTTCTCTCTGTGGAAATACTCAACTTTTTAGAACATAGCCGTCCATAACTCCATTATCGATATAATCTTGTTAATTTTTTACTGCGTTAATTAAAAAATTTTACTGCGTGAATCAATATTTGTATATGTACATCTGAGGATGGCTCGAATATGCAGCCGAAACGTAATGGTTTTGACTTTTAATATGTCATATTTTAATTTGATTGCGTGCGTATTTATAGTGAGAATTTTAGTTTATTTTAATTTATAATATATTATTAAATGGTTTATTAGATCACACATATAATATTGACTCTTAATTGCCTTTTTATTTCATTGACAATTTTTTAATACTAAGAGTCCTGTATATTCGTTCTATATTAAAATATTACAGCAATCTGTAAAATTATTATTATCTCAGGTCAGGAATGTTACCTACTCTTAGAATGATATATACCGAGAATGGTATTGTGAAAGGTTTATATCGTGGAATGAGTATCAATTTCTTACGAGCAGTTCCTTTCATGGCAGTTGGTTTTGCAACATATGAAGTAATGAAGCAAATGCTCCATTTAGACACTGGAATAAGATTATAATTATGTAACAATGATAATTTCAATTTGAAACAATAATAAAATGATCGAATAATGATAAAATTATAATAATTATAATTATGTGTACATTCAATTAGATTGATTTAGATAGAATAAAAAATTTTTTGATATTGAAAAATTGTGTATTATATTCATAAAAATGTCTAATTCATTATAAAATTAAAAGATAAACATGTAGTGAGAAGGCTCGTTAAGTTTTTCAAACTAATAATAAAGAGAGAAAGGGTTTACGAGCAAACAAATTCGTTAAAACATTTAATTTTATTCTAATATATTGCGACAACATATGTTAAGGTCAAGGTCATAGCGCTGTGGCCTCTCCCCTATTCTAAATAATTATACCAAAAATTTTTTTGGCTCAAATTACTTGTGGCGCCTTTAAGGACATATAACGTTCGATTCAAAATTTTTTAGTAGTTATGCACCCCCGAAAAATGGACTTTGGTGGCTTGAGATAAGAGACTTGTAGTGTCTTTCAGTCTTTGAACATGGCCGGAGACACTATACCGCGTCTCCTGATACCGTTTTTTGCAATACTGGTATGAAAAGTAAAGATTTCAAGTTTTAAAATGTTTTTTTTAACATCTCGATACGATCTTGACGAAGTTATTTTATCTTAAAATTTGCATGTAGTTTTTTAACAAAATTAGAGTCATTTAACATCAAGAAAAAGAAAAAAAAAATATATATATATATATAACCTATTTTTTTATTGAGTAACGTAAATACAAATGCTAAATAAAATATCAGAAATACTGATAAAGTTATCTTTATACATGTTATGTTTTTTTTATTGTGTAACATAAATAAAATACTAAATGATAAATCAATCAAACATATAACTCTTTTATAGGTACAAGAAAATACTTCAAATGATTAAAAACATGCATAAAAAGTAAGTTTTATATAAATATTGTATTTTTTGCAAAATATTATATAGAGTATAAACAAAACTCTATCTAAATATGATAATACCTTTTTATTTCTTTAATTTAATTCCTTGTAATAAAATGACATTATATAATCATGTTTATGGTGTTTTTTATGTGCTTTCACAAATTTGAACTTCTCTGTGTGTAATGCCAGATTTGCTAAATTAAAATATCCAAATAAAGTGCTCATATCACATAGAGTTTAAGAGAGTACTGCATGCTTATGGTTCAATTTTACATTTACCATGTGTAAAATCGATTTAATATTATTTTAAAAATAAGTTAAAAAATTATAAAAGCTATCACAAAAAATTTTTAGTTTATTAGGATATACAAAGTTTGCTCCACACATATTGTAATATATTCGAATTAACGATATAAATTTCTATAAAGTTAAATCTAAAATGAAACTAATATCTTTCTCCTCTCTCTCTCTCTCTCTCTCTCTCTCTCTCTCTCTCTCTCTCTCTCTCTCTTTCAAATCTAAGGTTATTTTATATGTGTATTAATGACTTATTCAATTTATACAATACGAGGATATTTTCGAAATTAAAATCAACAAAAAGTATTCAATGCATAGATTTTCAAGAATATAAAAAGTTCTATTTTAATCAACAGATACATATTTAAAAAAATTAATGGATTTACACAAAATGATCTATGCAAAATTTATATAAACAATTATATTAAAAAATTATTTTAACTTTTAATATTATAAAATATACCACTATAAAAATCTAAAATAGTCTATAAAGCGTTCGCTTTTCAATAATTTTAATACATTTACAAAGTTAGAAAACTCAATGTATTAAAATTATATATAATTAAGGAAAATTTAGTTTTATTTTAATTATTAAATACAGATAATTATTAAATTTTGGAAACGACTTTACAATGACAACTTGAACAATGCATCAATGAGAAATAAAATTAAATAATTTTTGTATAAATCATTTTTATGTAAATTATTTCGTTTTTAAGGCATTTGTTTTGTTAAAATGGGGCATTTTGTGCAATAGCATTCCCGTGTTTTTCATGCCAATATGAAATTAAAAATATAATAATATTCAAATAGTTATTAAGATACTATGTTTTCACTGAAACACAACTATTCGGTAGTGTTTCAGTATTTTATATTAATTTCATCCCTTGTATGAAGATCGGTATGCAATGAGAGGGCAATAAATAGAGCAGATATAAAATTAGCGATAATAATTGCTAATACCTATTATTTCTTCACCACACCTTCAAATTCCATCGCATCATATATATAATACTACAAGTGCATTTTTTGTTCTATAGGAAAATTTATTCTTATTGTAGTCTAGGGAATATTATATATATTGTATAATAGAAAACGGAAAAAAAGAAGAAAAAATGCTCAGCCTGCATTGTGCAGAAGGCTTGCGTTAACTCCGCGTTGCATCCTATGCTGTATATGGATTTTACAGTCTTAGTTAATTGCTACAATGTGCATCTAACACATTTCACGTTCGTCTTGCCATCCTTCGTCATCGCTATTATAATTGTTTCATTATGCATCATATTCGAATCGTAATGCTTATTTTAATAAATACATCTTCATATGTTTCTTTTTTAACTGTTCATTGTGCATAAATTGTTCCTGTATTTAACATAAAATTGAATATAAAATTTGAATGGGTTGCTTTAACTCGCATTACACATGTTTATTTATCAGAAGCATTATATTTTATATCTATTAATAAAAAGATAGTCGATAAGTTTACAAGCAAATAATTTTCTTTAATCATGATGAATACATATTCACTCGATATAAAGTATATGTTTCACTTTAGAAGGCAGATAGAATTGATGCAAGTGTCGTACTTATTTTTATGATTAGTCATCAATCAGTGTAGCTCAAATTTACATTGCAGTCTAAAATTACAAGACAAATTTTCGATTAAAAGTAAATCAAATCAACTGAATTATATATATATATATATGTACAGTATTAAATATAACTATTTTGTCTAAATATAAAGTAAAAACATTTCAAATGCAAATGTAGACATCATTTTTTTCGATTTTTCTTTTATTATACAGACGCATATTATTTCGCAAAAAATAATGTTTTGGATTAATAAATAGTAAGCTACATCGACGAAAACGAGATTTACATTCACCTTTTGAGGACTTCTGTGCTATTTAAATAAAAAAATGCATATTTTATTTACTTAAACATAATAAATACTGTGTAGAAATAACTGTGAATCTGACGAAACAACTGCTCATCATGATTCTGATGAATTCGTATGTGTAATGCCATATTAAATTTTTTAATAAAAACTTGGAAATTATATTTATTGAACCCTTATATGGCACAATTTATACATGCCAATTTACTGTTGCATCAACTCACCTTGCAATTTCTTCAAGTGAAACATCTCATGCTTCATTCACACTAATAATAACGCGACACTCTCTTAAATATAAATTTATAACCATTTTGGTATGTCTTTTTGAAATCTTGTATGACAATCAACTTCGTTAGAACGAACTGTCATTTAAAACACGATGTATGTTGCTCCGTTTATAAATTTCTCTTAACGAGTTTTATATTTTCATTCAAGATTACAAAATAATACCATTTTACTGTTATTTTTGTTCTATCTATTGCACGCAAACGTGTGCATTATTATATATTCAGTTTCTTTTATAATAAAAATACAAGCGGATATATAATAAAAGTTGTAAAACTCAATGCTACAAGTGAATTTAATCGATACGTGTGTACATTATTGTATTTTTTCCTTTTCAGTGTACAAGTAATGTTGCGTCTACATGTATCATGTAAGGCACGCACAGAACGTGCGTGTAACCTATTCTATCTCTTAATGAGACACCACAAAGTGAGCCATGATATAATACTGAGGCTATATGTGGTATATGTGAAAACATGTCGGAGCCTCACACTCATTTAACGATGTTCTATTGAAAGTTATGCTGTCTGGCGTCACTATAAAGTCGCGTTTCCATTCCCCTACCTTGACACTTAACTTTGAAGTTTAGTTCTCTAGAGGAAGTAATCTGGCGTTCGCCTGGTAACATGTGGTTCTCCACGTCTTGGTGCTGGGTCAAATTGTAGGCTGTAACAAAAAATCAAAAGAAAATTTATAATGATACCTATACCAGTAAAGTTGCATTATGATATTTAACATTTTTAAACAGTAAACATCTTTATATTAATAAAATCTTTTAACAATACAGGAAATATGATGTTGAATACGTTTACGATTATACAGGATGAGCCATCTAAAACAGGTTACCTAAATAACTCATTTATTTTTGTTGATATGTTGTTTAATCCATCTCATTATTTTGTGCATAAAGATATTACAGCATAGTTGCCAAAAAAATAATAGTTTACAAGATATGTGATTTTATGTTAAAAAGTGTCAGAATAAAGTGTAAAATATCTCGTAAAAACTATTGGTTTTTTTATATCTCTACCTTATAATACCATATTTTTATATACACAATAATTAGAGCAACCATATTGTGTAAAAAAAAAAATCAAAATTTCATTTAAAAAAGTGGAGGTGTCTTTTATATCTTTTTGTAGGCGCCTTCGCCTACAAAAAAAAAACAACATGACTAAAACATGTTCTCCTCAAAACTTTTCTATTTTTATCAGAAACATTTTTTTGTCATCAAAAACAAGTGAATTATTTAGATGGTCTGTTTTAGATGCCTCACCATGTTTAGAGCAAGACGGTACAATTGCGAACATGATATAATTCTAAATAAAATAAAATAGGAATCCAATTTTTAAAGTTTGATTTTTTTTGTTTGGTATATATACAATAAGAAAATTACCAAAGTTCACCTAAAAAATTGGATTCAAATTTTATTTTGTTCAAAATTGTACCATGTTCGAAACTGTACTATCTTACATTTAAAGAATTTATCACACATTGCATCACATTTCATCATACGTCCTATGAGATTTAATAATGTTTATCATACATTTATGTAGAAAAATTTTGATGTAATAATATGGGATGAGTTTTTTAATTCATTTAATGA